CGCTTCAGCCTAATAAGAAAGAAGTCCCAGTTGCGGTGACTCAAAATCCAGACTCCCCATGGATGGCGGCTGAGCGCATGACTCACATGCGCCTTCTAGCTACGAAGGAGCCAGAGCAGGATCCCAAACTGGGTCAGATTAAAGGTCAGCACCACATTCTTTTCAATGGGACCTACTTCTTAGGAGAGATGCTCTGCAGTGCTCTTCTGATTAATTTTTTTTCTACTTTTTGGTCTTCTTTTAGGGAAGCGGGGGCGAAAACTCGGAGAGATGTGTTCTGTAAATCCATCACAATAAAGATAAATAAGAGGCTTCTGCCTCATGCCCGATCCACCTGGTGCGTCACCCTTCCTGGAGCAAGAGAGCCCAGCCTCATGGCTGCTTTTGTGTCCAGATTAGGACTAAATAAGGTTGCCTTCGAAGGAGGCTCAACAAGATCCTCAAGGTGTATAGGATACAGCGGCAGACTAGGATTAAGAACAGCCAAGCTGAAATCCTCAGTCAGCCACGCAAACTCATGGGTGTTGCGTAGAACTGGCAAAAAACACTCCTCGTGTGTTTCACTTGCCTTGACCATCCCTATTAGGGTCACTGTGAGTCAGTTCTGACTTGACGCCCCAGAACATAACAACAGCAGCGATTCAGCTCCTCTGTCGTGGATCGGGGCAACGTGCTGGGCTGGCAACGTCTTTCTCTCGGGCTGAAACATCAACGTCGGCTCCTGTACCAATTCTAAGACGTAACTCGAGGGCGAGCTCTTCCTTTTAAACCAATTTGCAGCTTGGTGGCCGGGGAGTTCAGGAACCATCCCCACCCCTTTGAGTGCGTGTCCAGTTTTTTGAGCTCCTCTGGGACGGCGTTTGCTGGGGTGGTAGAACTGCTGAGGCACAAGGGGTGTCAGTCAAGGAGGAGGCCTTCTCAGGAGTAGCAAGGCGTCTCCGTTGTGGAATTGCTCTTCCCTTCTAGAGAGACCCACTCGACAGCCAGGCTGCGGTCATTCCACGAGAGTCCTTTCAATAGCCCAATGGTCCCCAACCTTGGGCCTCTAGATGTTCTTGGACTACAACTCCCAGAAGCCTTCACCACCACATCTGCTGGCCAGGATTTCTGGGAGTTGAAGTCCAAGAACATCTGGAGGACCAAGGTTGGGGACCACTGCAATAGCTGATTGGAGTCATGGCTCTTGACATCACTGTATTGCTGCCCTGTTGTTGGCCTTCCTGTCCCACTGGAGGGTGGATGTTCCTCATCGCCACTCTGACTTTGGATGTGGCTGCCCTAAACACTGGAACACAGATGCTCTGCCCGGTCCCACATGCAAGGGGGAGAGAGACCTACGTGCTGCACCAGTGGCATTTCCATCACCCCAGTGGACAACTGGGGAGGGAGAATGCAGGGCATTCCTGTGAATGACTGAACCCCATGGCTGCACCACACGGTTTTGGGCTGGCCCAATGTGCACCCATGAAAGTAGAAGCCGGAAACATGGCCCTTGACTTCTCCCATGAGTTTCCCAGGAGAAAATGTACCCTTGGTTTCCTGGGGTCCAAATTTGAATTGAGCACTGATGCTTTCAGTAGAAAGAGAGAGACCTCTTTCCCCTTGCTCTGCCCCCATGCCGTAGGTCTAGAAGTTCACTTCTCATGCGCGCGGCCTATATAATCACTGCCTCCTTCGCAGGCAGCTGATGCAAAGGAGGCTAATGAACTTCAAGCAGCACTTGCTTAACGAGGGTAATTTAATTTTAATGCTTCCGGAAGTTCCTTCTCTTTAAAAATAGAGGCCTGCAGCTACCCTGCCGTAGTGGACAAGCGAGCCGGCTTGTTAACATTAAACCGAAGCTATTTTTTAAGGCAGTAAAAGCCCCCCCCCCTTGCGGCGCTGGCTTCTCGCAAATTCTTGGAGGTAAGGAAGCGTAATGGGGTCAAAACTCACCATCCAGCGAAGATCCTCCATAGGGCAACCGTTTTCGTTGCCTGTCTTGCGAGGAATCCATCCCAGAAAACAGCGGGGAGCCATTTTGTTTACCTGGTGGCCATTTTGAAATCGCCAATCAGCTGTTTTAAAATCATTGTTTTGTGAAGAATCGGTTCCCGAAGCAGGGAACCAATCACCGCAAAGCGAAAAAAAACCATTAGACCATCGTTTTGCACTTACCCTTTTGCGATCGCAAAAAGATCGTCATAATGTGGTTTCATCATAATGCGGGGCAATCATAAAGCGAGGCACGACTGTACTTCATCACTTTATTTCAGTGGAGAAAATACATTGTACCCATGGAGAAAGTTTGTATTTCTAGCTCTTACTATTTTGAGTATCTGACTGTTGGATGACTCTGGACTCTGGACCAGCACCGAGCTATTTCCTCTCGAGGGTCAGAGAGGTCAAGCCGCGGGCAGCAATCTATGGGGATTTTATTTCAGAGTAATTGAAAGCGAGCAAGTTGAAAGGGCAAAGGGTAACTAATGAACACGTTGCTAGTTGCTTCTTGACTGGCACACAAACATGAGCATAACATAACCTGTGGTTGGCCACCATGCTTTCTTTTAATACTGTGTATCGTGGCTATAAGATGCTCTAACATTATTAAATCTGTAACGTCAAAGCACCCGAAAACTATAATTATCGGTCTAATCCAATGTGCCCATTGTTATCATCTGATAGCATCAAAGCGTAGAATATACAGTGCTCTGTCTTTTAGCTTTGCACACTTGAAAGGGGTTTGTTCTCCTGGGAACGTCATTGTTGCAGCTTTCAGGAAGCTTCCTCCAGTGTTTGCACCTGGTTGGGGGAGTTACATGGCTGAGCTTAAGTTTAAATGAAAGGATGAAAAGCAGTAAGGAAGGAAGGAAGGAAGGAAGGAAGGAAGGAAGGAAGGAAGGAAGGGAGGAAAGGGACAGAAGGGGGGGAGGGA